TGTGTTTTGAGGTTGCTGACTAGGTGATTTCTCTGTAGCATCAACTCAGGAAATGCGCCGATTTCAGTTTTACAGATTTTCACTGTAAAACTGAGCCTTCAGTAGGAAATGGTTTCTTCTTTAAACCACTTCCAAATTCCTCCGCCCCGGAAACACGGACCATGAAGGTGCTCACCACTCACCCTGGGTGCCCACCAGAACCAGAGGGATCTCGCTTGTGTTCCGGTAGTTGGCCATCCGGCTGTAATAGTGGTAGACAGTCTGGAAGCTAATCTCGTCCTCCAAGCTGAAGACAAATATAACAGCGTCCACCCACATGGCAAACTAGGGAGAAAGAAGGGGAGAGAGGAAGGGAATGAGTGAGGAGAGGAGGCCCCCAGGGAGCAAGGGCTGGGACAGCATCACACCATCTTCATGCGCGCAGGCTGTGCGGCTGGCAGAGCCCGCTCAGTCAGGCCAAGTCCACGCTTGACTTCTGAGGTCACACGGTGCTGAGGCGTCACTAACATCCTTCTCATCCCGAGCACAACACGGCTGGAATGGGACCACCTCCCTACTCCCCGACCCAGGCCACGCCCGTCTCCTGAGAACGCTAACTGTTCATCCTTCTCCACGGGGACCAACTGCAGTCCTGCCAACAAGAGGTGCCAGGGCCAATCTGGAGATGGAGTGACCCTGACGCTTTCCGCTTCACACTAAGCGTCCCCCCAGGAAGGCTTGCTGGACCCCTCAGAGCCGGGGCTCCTCCCCTGGGCTCCCACAGCCTGCTCAGAAATCCCTCTCCCGCCTGACGGCTGAGTCCTCCGTCAGAAGAGGTATTGTAAAGATCAGCTGCCACTGAATTCTTACAGCACCCTGTGAAGGTATCATTATTTATTGTTAGAGGAATTAACAAAATAGCAAAAATTAGGGGAAAAAACTGAAACCCCACAATGGCCTGACTCTTGCCATTTCATTCTTGCTTTACCGGCACCCAGGTGCACCTACGCCAAATCCACTTTCTGGCAAATAACCACCCTATCAGGCATTATTACTTCACATAATACTCAGAGACGTCTTGTGAACTTGGGGTCTAGGCAGGGGAGGGTCCCTGAAGCTCAGCCTCTCCCCAGGATTGCGCGAATTCCAGCCATGGAATCCAGGTCGGGTCAGTCTGCCACCGAACACCCCTCTCTTTCCAAATGAAGATGAATAATAACAATAACAATAATAATAATAATAATAATAATAATAATAATAATAATAAAATATCCTGTTCCCTTTCTCTAAAAGAGGCAGCAGCTCCTAGGTAACTTTTGGTAGCCAAGGCCTCAGTTCTAATATATTTGGGGAAATTCTGGGTGGGTTAAGCTGACTTCCACACATAAATGAAGGGTGTATTCAGCGACATGTGAAGATCTGACATGATGAAACTTAAATAAGCCCAAACTTCAAGTGCTAAATATAAAGTGAAAATAAGAACTGAGGGTCAGAGTCCTGAGACGGGGCTGAGAAAAGGTGATGTCCCCCCAGGGAGCCCAGGGACCCAGGCCGACAGAGGCATCTCTTCCCTTTCTCTACTGGGAGGTATTTTTCCCTTTCTCTTCCAATAAGTGGGGAGACATCAGCTTCCTAGGCACATGAGCCCCTTCAGAAAGCCTGTCCCCCAGGACCAGCCCTTATCTCCCAACACGGAAGGTGACAACTGTGAACCTCCGTGCAGAGGAAATGCAGACCATGCCTCATTCCCTCAAGGGGCGTCCTGACTGCCCAGCACCTACAGGGGCGGGCTCCATAAATACCCTGCACCCCAATGGCTTCCCTACCAAATTCCCAAAAAAAAAAAAATCCAGTTAATGAACGGAACTGTCACACTACCCTAGGATGCCACTAGTAGCCACACAGTCGTGGTTTCATCCATGAAGCCGTTATCTTTGGGTAGACTACATGAAATGACCTAAAATAATGAAAACAGAGGTTGTGCTTACACATGCCTNCATGCAGCGAGGGACATGTCTGTCGCCCGCGGGGATGAGGCACCTGCCGAGTGGGAAAGGGGTGCTGTATTCACAGCCGTGCGTATTTACCGTCCTGAAAGACCCTCTCCACATTCAGCCCATACGTGGCACACGTCTCGTAGTAGGTGCACCTCTTCAGATCGCTGGACAGCTTCCTGGCCCTGGCGTCGTCGATGACCCGCGGGTTCGTGGAGCTGATGGCATCTGTAACAGACAAACACAAAGAGGCAAAAGGGTGACCACGAGCCGCTCCGATTCCTCCCCCCACAAAGATCTCTGCAGACCTCAAGCCCTGCACCTGCTGTCACTGACATCATTCTTCTGAGAACCTGGTTTTGAAACACAGCCTACCCCCAAAACCATAACCTCAAATGCCACAATGGTCGTCATTAGTAGAACTAGGTTTCAGAAGATCTTGCCTCTGAAATGGAAATAAGAGAATGCCAGAAGGCCCCGAGGAAGGTGTAGGAGTCAGCTGTGGTCCCAGAGGAAAGTGTTTTAAGGGCAACAAACCCCAGGGTCACTGTGTGTGGCTGACCTTGGACGCACGAAGCACCCTGCTAAGTGCACCCTACACTCCAGCATGACTCCTCCGGGGACCATGCAGCCCCTCAATACTCGTTCACGAGCCCTGAGGTCTGGGACGGGTCTAGGCACAGACACCCCAGTAAACACAACAGATGAAAATCCGAGTTCTCAGGGGAGGCAGGTCGGCTGAGGAGGGAGGCAGAAAATAAATAACAGAAATGAAGGATGGCTATGAATTCAGGATGGTGATGGGCGCCGAGTCCGCCAGGCGTGGGGTGAGGAGGTCAGCATGCTCGGTGTGGTTTTCAGCTGAGCCTCGCCTACAGGAGGCGGGGCCTGCGGGAGGAGAGGCCTGTGGGAGGCGGGGCCTGTGGGAGGCGGGGCGAGCGCCTGGTGTATTTAGAAAAGACAAAGGGCAAAGGGCTCAGGCACCAGCGGGAGGTGAGCGAGCTGGGACAAGGGATGGCAGTAAGCCCAAGTGAGCAAGCCACCTCCTGCAGGAGCTGGATACCCATGGGGGCGCTTGAGCAGCAAGGAAGGGGTGTCAGGCATCAGCCCACTAGCCTCAAATCAATCAATCAATCAGTCAATCAGTCAATCAACCAGCCCTTTTAGCTGGGCCTTGACAAAACCACACCCCATTCATTGCGTTTCCAATGAGTTACAGAGGGCCAGCCTCGTGCAGGGCACACGAAACCGAGAAAGGGCCAAGATGCCAACGGCCGCTGAGCTTAAGTGTGTGCCAACAGGCCCTTTTCAAGGGCTTTTTTCTAATGTGAAATTTTCTCAGAGGGTTTAAAGCAGCGGTTCTCAACCTTTCACAGGGCTCGCCTAAGACCATCGGAAAACACATATTTTCGATGGTCTTAGGAACCGAGACACCGCTCCTCTATCCGTCTGCAGGTCCACATGCAGATACGCCCATATAGGAGTACCTGGCGACCCCTGTGAAAGGGTCGTTCACGCGACCCACAGGTTGAGAACCGCTGGTTTAAAGGCTCCTCTGCCACAGAAAACACTCGACTGCTCTTTAAACCGAACCCTCAGCAGGACGCCCTCTGCTGCTCTCACTTGGAACAGCAGCAGAACGTATGCCACACCAAACAGCGGCAAACCTTTCCGATCTATTTTTGTGCAGGAAGTGCATCTGGCACTCGTCTAAAATAAAAGTGGCCTTTTTTCTTATAATACAATTAAAAACTATGATATATAAAAATGTAATAAAAAATAATTATTCATTTTCTCCCCCTTTCTCTTTTTCTTTCCTTTACCCCCGTTTTATTTTTTAACTCTATGGAATAGGTTTGACCTGATAGTCTTAATTACTCTGAGGGAAACTGATTCAGGACTAATTCTAGAACCCTCACTAGCAAGGCCTGTTAGAGGGATTTCTTCAAAGAACATCTCATCCTGCCTTCTTGTCTTACAGATGAATAAATTTGACTTGGATTTCACAAAACTGAAGGAAGAGAAGTATTTTTTTCAGGTGTAAACATCTTTTAAGAAAATAGTACGGACAAAGTTAGAAATCCATAATTTTTCAACGCTCTTGCGTAATTTGGAAAATACAGGCCACAGAGCGTCAATCCAGCTTTAAAATTATCCTGCCCTGGGGCCCCCAACAATCGCAAGGCCCCTCCATCCTGCAGGGGTCGCCCATGCTGTTTTTGTTCCATGTCATCTGCATCACCATTGACGGAAACGGGTCTGGCTGACGTAAGCTCTGCATTTCAGTCTGTGCTGTGTCCTTTTTCGTTCACCTGTAACTGCATCTTGTGAGAGCTCGTATTTCTCCCTCAAATCAAGCTCCTCCACACGCCTTGAAATGGAGCTGTTTAAGTAAACATCTCAGTCACCTCATTCACAAATGCCTTGTCCACTTACACATATTCACTGAGCTCCCTGACTGTCTCCAGAAAGGGGACATGTCCTCAGTGAGTTTCCGCCCACTTCTGGTTGATGCCCCACCACCTGCCAGATATCTTAAGGAATACACTTAATTCTTCATCTTTTCTTATCCCTCATTTCCTGCCTTGAGGTCACATACCCCGTCACCTGGGAGGGAAACTTCAGATTCCCTGGTGTGCGACTCAACCTGACCTGACCTTTGTCCTGGCATCCCACCAAGCCCGTGCCAAAAAAAAAAAAGGGGGGGNAAATGAATTTTGCTCTTTTAACGTTGATAAAAATACTGAGGTCAGTAACTTACGAACATTGAGGGTTTGAAGAAGTTTTGTTGTATTGTGACATTTAAAAGGAATTTTGGACCACATATTATTTTTATACTGGGAAAAAAGTTGTATTTGTAACATGTTAAGTTCACAAAATTTAACCGAATCAGATTTCATTTGCTTTGCCAATTAAAAAAAAAAAAGTACATTTTTTTTGTTTGTTTTTTAAAGTGACTGCTATAAAAATGTACTAACAGTAAGGCTCAAATTCGTGGTGACTGCTGAGTATTTCTACGGGTGAAACACAGGGCTGTAACAGGGGTGAAGTGAGGACTTAATGTACTCGCCAGGATCTCTGAAGACTTCATTAAATCCTCATCTAAGTAAAATTTAAAAAGGAAGATGAGGAAACAAGTCAGAGCTCCAGGTTAAGACAGCAGATTTGAATGTCACTATACTTGAATTTCCTTTCCTCCATTCTTAATAAAATGAGGGGAAGAAGTAAAAACCAAAAAGGAAGAAAATTCACCATCCACCAAGAAAAGGGGCATAGCTTCATACAACAAAAATCTCAAACACTGGCCTTAAGAACAAAAAGGGCACCTCTGGAGCCGGTGGAGAGGGGCTCCTAGTGGACAACGGCCCCCAAAGTGTGGAGGCAAGAACTGGGAGAGGTGACCCCTCGGACCACAGAGGGGCGAGCAGGGCACGATGCACTCATTTGGCCCTGGGATTCAGGAAACGGGCACACGGCCTCGGGTCCTGGGGCCCCAGCACTCCCCTGCAGGCGAGGGGTGTCTGAGGTCTGGCAAATAGGAATGTGGGCGGAGGGGTCTGTCCAGTCTGGTCCAGCACACTCAAGATTAGGGTGTTTCCTCCACCTCTTTTTCCTGCCCCAGGAAACCGGATGAAGGGGAGCTCCCCACACCCCATATCTGACTGGGATTGAGTGAGAGAAGCCTTCCTGAGGGCTGGCCGCTGAGATCTGTGGCCCCAGCCAGTGTGAGTGACCCGAGCAGTGCAGGTGACCCAGGGCACAGCCAAGACAGCATTGGTCTCAGCAGACAAAAGGTCTGGGCAGACAGACGCCCAAGGAGGAGAGAGCTGGAGGGACGGAAGGTAAAGACATTATGCAAAGATGCCACCAGAGGAAAAAAAGCGGAAGTGAGGGGGCGGCGGCAGGGAGGGAGCATACAAAAACAGCCAGGGGAGAAGAGAACACCACGCAAAAAGCAGAAGGAAACCCCTTCCCACTGCCCTCCGCCCTGACTCAGCATAAGCACAGTCCTTCAGAAAGACAACAACTCCAGGACGAGAACTTGCAACAGTGAGATGAGATGGAAACCTCTAGAACTGGGGACCCCGAACATTTTGGAAGGAATGAATGAAAAGTGAAAGCGGAACAGAAGAGACACTATTGGAAGCTGAGTTTCTGACACTGAGGAGTGGCTTGAAATAAACAATGAGATGAAAAAGGCAGGGAGAAAGCGTTCAGAGAGAAGCTGATTGACAGGAAGACAGACCAATGCACCGAACAAACGGATGAATGGTGTGTCTGACAACAAATCCCCAACACAAGAACGTAAAGACTATTCAGAGATGAAATACAAAAGTATTTTCCTGAAATGCAGAAAAGATCTGAATCTGCCAATCAAAATGATGCAACATCGCTTTAAAGATGAGCAAACTGAGGCCCTGGTGACAAACGGCACACAGCAGGGACGCAAAGGGCCGTCCAATGGGCGCGTCTCCAGGGATTCTGAAAATGGCTGATTTAAGCGGTTCTTACACGTGTATAACTGTTTTTGAAACTGTGTCGCAGTAACAGCCAACCTGCCCTGGAGAGTATGTTACATGCTCAATGAAGAGACCAAGAACATCCGACGCGGCCGCGTTGGGTACATTCTTGTGCCAACACAAAGCCCACCTTCTGGAATGCTGGGAAACTTCGCACTGGCCTGAGAACCTCACAAATTGTGCAGACAAGCACCCTGAGATGTCCCGCTTTCTCAGGAGTGACCAGCACGCGCACGCGTGGTGGCGGCTTTTTGTGTGTGTGACCCAAGTCAGGTAATCAAAAACAAGCCCAGCTTGGGGACATGTCACAGCACATGCAGTGATCCCCACTCAGCCCTAGGGGGGCTCCTACCTGAAAACGGTTGCAGAATGGGCGCAGCTGCTTTTAAGAATTCAACTTGCAGTTTTCAAAGTCCCACTATAGTCCTACTACTTGAACACTGCTGGATCTATTTAATGAAAAACTACCTGGAAAAACTGAGAACAGGTTGTGTATTTATTTTAAAAGTGCCACTAACTTGTGCAGCTCAAGTATTCTTGGCACCAAGCAAACAAAACCGAAGTTAACAGGATGAAGAGGCAGATCTAACACTGAAACTGGAGACCCTAAGGCCTTACTTGTGTCCATAAACACAGGTTCAGCGTGGTCTTTGGTAAGCAATGAGGCAGAAATTTATAAACTAGAACAGCGGTTCTCAACCTGTGGGTTGCGACCCCTTTGGGGNCGGTAACTTGAAAAGTTGTTTTTTTTTCTTGGAATAGTCCAGTACACTCTGCCTGATTTCGCACAAAACCCTGTCCATCTTTTTGAAAGGCTCCATCGCGATCCCTTCCCAAGTAGGAATCTTCAGGGTAAGCTTCTAGGCTAACGGCTTCTGAAGGCAGTACGGCCCAAATGAAGGGCTGGTCCTCAAAGAAACTGGGTGAACACTTTCTCACGGCCACAGGCCAAGACAGACACCTACCTGCCCCCAGCGTTGACGTCATCGGCAGGCAGACCACCTGGGTTTGTGCTAACCTTGGGCGAGGCTTTAGGGCATCTGAGGGGAATGCTGGGAGCACCCTTCCCAGGGGTATCTGGAGAATAACGTAAATGAGCCAATTCATGCAGGGCGGGCACTCACCCGGTTCCCAGGCTCAGCTCACAATTAGGTGCTTAGCTAGTCAAGTATGTGAGTAAAATACTAAACTGGCGAGTAAGTAAACTACACTCATGCTTTTCTATTCCTAGAATGTGTATCTTTCGAGGAAGTTTCACAGAAACTGCACCACGCTGCACGCTGGTTTTCAGAGGGGGACGGACTCGGGTCGAGAGCCCTGGTGAGCAGCAGGGCGGCACGGGGTGAGGGTGGTGGGGAAGACGGCAGAGCTTTCCAGATGGCGACTCCACTGAGCAGACAAATTGGTGTGGAGTCTGCTTTCCCTTCCTTCTTAATAACACGGAAAGTGAAAACAAGCCACACAGCCTGAACGTCCCCTGGGATTTGATGTGCAGGAACAACAGGTTTCTCAGAGGCGAGAGAAGCCTCAACCACAGGAAACACTGTCGGGGGCCCCTCTGTCACCTTTTCTCGAGCACATCTGACTGACTTCTAAACCCACGTGGAACTAGTGGAATCAGAGAGAACCTTAACAAGGAAAGAAGGTGCGTGGCTGGCGGTTGTTGGCTTGTAATACTCACCTGTGCCTCCGGGGGGCCCCCTTCATCTCTAATCAGCAGCAGGTAACTCTGTCCATCAACAACAATCTCTTTCTTGAATCTGCCACCTGCCACACACACAAAAAATCTCATTACACAAGGAAGACGGAGTGTGAGGAGGGCAGACAGACATGGGCTTCGCTTGTGGAAAAATACACCCTAGGCTGTCGCCCTGGAGGCAACTCTGAGCATTTAGGAGTAGGTTTCGGATCTGCCTCCAGCAACCGCTGGATTTGAAAAGAGCTACTGAACTCAGATTCAAATGTCCGGCTTTAGGAACCCANATGGCGATCCAGCTGTGACCAAGCCAGCGTCTATATTCTAACTTGCAATAAAAAGGTCACGCATTGAAAGTTTTAAAACACACCTTAGGAGTTAACAGTTTCTCTAGGAAAAATGATTTGGTAATTGCAGATGTGAAACGTGCTAAACCCTGGTTTCCTTCTTCCGATGAAAGACATGGTTTTTGTAACCACTTTCAGCGTCATGAGGTGTCAGGGAAGTGGTTGTGCCTATAGCACGCACAGGCTATTTTGGGGGCTCTGTGAGTCGAATGACATCAGCGAGCATCTGTGGGCTGCCACGGGAAGCCGCCGAGGCCGGCGTGTCCTCTGCGAGCGCTCGGTGTCATCTGGCCGGGTGTAAGTCACTACCGCGAATGAGTTCCGTGCCCAGCAGCATCCTCGCTGTGGAATGCAGGCCGGGTGCCCAGGGCGCAGTAGGTCCTTGGTTTCTTGTTGAATTAATTAGAACAATATGGGATGACTGTGTGTTCTAGGTTCCAAACAACCAACTCAAAAACACATTTTGTCCTGCCAATTTCATCAACGCCAAAAACATGACAAGCTCCTTAATCGAATTTTACAGCTTTCTTTTTGTGGTTCAGAATAAGGTACAACATGCTTCTCTTTTATTCCTTGGGAGCACAAGTAATAATAATTTTCGTACTCTGCCTTGTGTAGACAGTCCCACCTGCCCCTCCGCGGCTTACGTGTGGAGGGCTGCCTTAGCTCACTGCTGTACAGATGACTGCATAGCACGGTCAATGATATTTCCATGGTTAGACACTGGCTTAGTATCTGAAATAATTAGAGAAGATGGCTGCCCTGATGTCTGTTTTATCTATTAAACCAACCCACCAGTAGGCTCTCAATCTAAGGCTTACAGATAATCCTCTTAAAAAATTATCACATACTTATAGTCATTTGGTCGCAAGTAACAGTAAAATTATGTTGAAAAATTTCAATGGCTAGATTTCAAAACTACTCAGATTTTATTAGGGTTTACAGATTTTTTTTCCATTGGAACATTAAGCAGCACCCAGGAACGTGTTTAAAAATAAGCCCTAACATCTGCTGAGCAGTGGTAGCTGACAAACATTTTTTTTTTATTTGATTTGGAAAGGGTTTCTGGAACTGACAGCTTAAATGCATTTCATGTGTCCCAGAAAATGGGCCCAAGTAAAGTTTACCACATGGTTTGTTTCTAAGAAACGAAGTAAACATTCATTAAAAAACTATCTAAGATCCATGTGCTCCTGAGAACGCATGTACTGTCCAAGACAGATGTGTCTGTTGGAAAGTAATTTCAGGCAGGCAAGACTGAGGGACAGCCAGCTGACCTCGCCGCCAGGAGAAATGACCACTAGAACCCTCCACCAGCAGCCAGGACCGGGCATGGCACGTCCACAGCAGAAACGCCAGGGCCATTTAATCAGGGGGGACAGCAGTGCGACTCGAAACACTGGACATGAAAGGCAAAGGTGCCTGCTAACCCGTCCACTGTAACTGTCACCCTGCAGGGANAAAGCGGTGTGTCTCATGCACAAGTTCCCGCAGTAAAATCAGGGCTTTTCCTAACACTTTGTCCTAATTCCACGTGCTCTGGAAGATTCGGGATAATGCTTCCTCCTCCCCAGAGCAGCTTATGAAATAGCAAGTCCTGGACGTGCTGCTCAGGGCGCCCCAGGAAGGCACCCCAGGGACGTCCCCAGGGGCAGAGCCCACGATATTTCCAGTCTCAGAGCAGGGCTCCCATGAAAGCGAGTGGTAAGACAGCGAAGGGCGATGGATCTGACTTATACTGGACCAAGGACACAGCTTGGTCCTTCCAGTATTGGCCCCTTCAACCATGAGGGGCTCGCTGCCCAGTTCCCTCGCTGCCTCCCACACCGGGTCAATGAAACCCGGGGCTTCTGAACCACAGCTCCGCCAGGACTTGGCAAGTCCCCTCATGTGCCAGGCACAGTGCTGATGCCACCAACAGAATGAACACGGCAGAATCTCTGCCCTCACGGAGCTTCCTGTCAAGGGCAGTGAGAGGAAAAGGAAGCCGGTAAGGCCAGCTGGCTGGCGGGGGACCAGAACGGTGCCACGAGCAGGCGCACCCCTGGCGCCCTGAGAGGAGGGGGCAGTGGCGGCTGGCTTTCAATCGCCACTCAGAAGGAGAAAATGGTCATATAATCATGCCCTCCCCCAAGAAAATCGAATTTACAGCCCGAGAAGCAAGCTGTTTACTGGGGACATTCCAGCACCCACTGCTGAGCTTGTACTTGGATGTTCTAGCATCTACTACTGTCTGGAAATAGCTTGGGTGGTAAGTTAATAAAATGTATTTAGTCGTGCACATTTGTTTCTTTGGGAGAAAATGTACCTAAGGTTATTTGTTGGTTTTATTTTTAGTATTCTGCACATTTATTTTAAGCACTTAAAAAAAATAAAGGTCGTCCAGAAGCCGGCGACTGATCTGCCTCGCCTGGGAGGAGCGCAATGATGGTGCCAACTTGGGCCAGTGAAGCAACGTCCTCCACAACTAGACGGAAGAACAAAAGGACAGCAACTTGTCTGTTCCCCTTCCCTGATTCCCCAGCGCTGTTCCCATCCCCCAATTCCCCAATAAAATCTTTAAAAAATAAATAAATAAAAAATAAAGGTACAATGACGAAGAACAGTGCAGATTCGGGAGGAAGTGCCTCACTCCCTGCCTGGAGCATTTAAACACGGCTTCCTGGCGAGTCACACCCGTGACCTGAGAGGCACGCTCACGGGCAGGAGTGTGCAGATGCGCGCGGGACTGAGCTGGTGGGCACCGCACGGAAGCCAGAGGGAGGGTCACTCAGCTACCAGCACCCAGGCAAACGGTCTCTGGGTTCCTCAGATGTTACCGTTCTAAGCTAGTGCTTCCCACCTGAAAAGAGTTTACTAAAAAAAAAAAAAAAAGTGTCATGTAAACTATTCCTGTGTATTGAACATATAAAAGGACTACAGGCGTTAGAAACTGTTCATACAAATTCTCTAAATATAAATCAGGTGTTTGTTTCAAGAAACTAGAAAAGGGTGGTTGCTGTGAAACTTGACCTTACAGAGGAACCAAGAAATCCTACGCATCTGAGGCCCTCGATGTTGCTTCTAGGGGCTGTAGAGGCGGGGTCGGCCAGCCTTCTCCGTAAAGGGCCAGGCAGTACATATTTCAGGCATCAAGGGCCGTAGTCTTCTTTGTTTCTGTCGGGTTTTTGTTTATTTGTTTTTACAAACCTTTAGAAATGCAACCACCCTTCTTAGCTCCCGGGCAGTAACAGTCCAGGCAGGGGGACATTTCTTTGGCTGATGCCAGCACACTGTTTGGACTGTCACTGTCCACTTTCTCTTGAGGGACCCTCTGTTTTGCTCCGATGGGAACAGTGTAAGTACTTGAATGGGAGGAGTTCAGCAGGTTTTGTCTCCAGGTCTCTGTCTCCATCCTAGAGGGGGCTCTGGTCCCCAAGCATGCCATGGAAGACTGGCGCCCTCTGAGCAGGTCACCACTAAGCCCTGGAGCACAGCCTGGAATCCAGTGCTGGCGGGGGACAGGACCTGCCCAGGGCGTCCTCCGTGTGTACACGCGCAAGTGTGTTTGTGAGCACACACGCGTGTCACTGCCTCTCAGGCACAGGCCCAGAGCTCCTGCATCGGGGACATCTCAGAAGCGGCTTAGCCTGCATTTGTCACCTGTGCACTGCCAGAGCCCTGCCCAAGTGGAACTAGGTGCCAGGCCCACGGCCCAAACATGCCCTGCACGGCTGCTTCTCATGCGTACCGAGCAGCACCTCTCCTCACGGGGCTCCCCGCACCGTGAGTTAGTTCCAACACCCACAGGGTATCTGAGGACTCCCATGTGTCTCGAGTGCCCCTCTCCACAGCCAGCGCTCATGGAGTGACCTGGCAGGAGCCCCGAGGTGCGGCCCCCTGACTCCCTTCAGAATCCTTCTGTCAGCCATTCCCCACGGGGGCTGCTGTCTCCTGTCCCTGTCCCTGGGCTGCGTCGGAAGGCGCACACGTTGGCCAGCCTGACCCACTGAGGTTGTGCAGTGACCCCGCCTGGGTCTGGACAGCCCCCCCACCCGTCCCCGCTTCCTGACCGGGCTCCAATCCTCCCTTCCTCATTCGCCTACAGCCCGGTCCCCTCCTGCTCACGCAGAGGCGAGGACATGCTGTGACCTGGCTCCTGTGACCAGCACCCCCCCATCTTCCACACACTCCATACTTTCAACATGCCTGGCCCAGCCAAGTGCCCGGGAAGTGCAGGGCTGGCTTTTCTTTTGTTTGTGGTGGTGCTGTTTATTATTATTATTTTTAATTTAAATAAGGAAAACAGTAAGAAATGGGGCTCAAAATAGGGTAACAAACGCTGGGCACAGGTGCTGCCCTCAGGGCCGTCCGTGTGAACAGAACACCTGCAGCTTCCAGACGCAAAGGCGGTGTCACCCGCCCGTCACACAAGGGATCTGGGGAACCGAGACCCTGCCTCACAACCCTTCCCAACATGGGGCCCCCAAGGAAGCCACCACGATGGACAGAAGACTGCACAGCGAGCTGACTCTTCCGGCCCAGGTCATGAATTCATGAGCTCCATGCTTTGAACCATACGAAACGGGCCTCTTGAGTAGACAACTAGCAGCCGCATGTGGCACACGTGTACAGACACACACCAGACGCGCGTGCGCACACAGGCTGTCCCGACCCTTCTCAGACCTCACGCCTGGTCCTGCCAATGCCTCAGCTTGCAGGCTGGCGGGACCCGACTCCTGCAG